CTTCCTCATGCACTCATGCAAGGAGGGGCCATTAGGACCACACGGGAAGCTCTGAGCATCCTGCCTGCAATCTTACCCACAGACACGTTTTTATATTGGACATCCAGGATGGCCTCATATTCTATTCCTGACTCATTATATCATCCTGTTTCCAGGGGAGTCTGTTGAGACTTAGACAATGACGTAGTGGAGATTTCCACTGCTAAATCCAGCACAGGTTGAGGAAGATGTAAGGGCCCCCTTAGCTAAGGATAGCCTCATCAAGAGACCAGATTAACTGTGGGCAGAAAGCAGAAGTAAGTACAAACCTGGCACCCCAACATCTGCCAGGCCCTGCGCACCTCATGTGAGTCAGGTCTTCCTATTCCGGCAGCTGGAGGTCAACGATACTGCCTCCTCTTGTCACCTGGACCCTGTGCTCCTCAGACACCCACTGTGACAGTCCACTTAATGAGACTTTCCACAATTATTCACGTTTTCAGGACCCTGGTAACTGCCAAGAACTCCCCCAACTCTGTAATTCTTTTGCCACTCAACAGGCTTTTTATTATCTTTTTCCTCTGGGCTTCAAGCCTAGTATGGTAGGAACCGTGTTGGTCGTTTCCATTGTTTTAGTGCCAATGCCTAGCCCCAGTGTGTGGCAGGGATCTGCTAGCTGTTGAATGGATAATTATGTGTAGTACTGAGGATAATACAGAATTATATATGACACCTGGTAGGCAAAGAGTTGGATACCTGAAGAAGATGGCAGCCGTGTCTTACGTGAGGCAGCGGGGCCCCCTTGTGGTCATTTAAGCTGCAGACTCAATGCTCCTGTCGAAACAGTGACTAAGCCGCCGGAGCATCTTCCCACACACATGCACCCCAAAAGGGTCTGTACCCTCAAAAGACTTGGATTTCAATGAAGCATCGTTTGCACTATCATTGTACTCCTCTGTGCACTAACATTGGTGCGCTTCCCCTAAGATCATGAGAGGAGGGCTGGAGAGATGGCTCAGCGGTTAAAAGCACTGACTGCTCTTCCAGAGGTCCTGAGTTCAATTCCCAGCAACCACATGGTGGCTCACAACCACCTATAATGAGATCTGGTGCCCTCTTCTGGCCTACACGCAGGATACTTGACTGACTGACTGAATGAATGAATGATAAATAAATAAATATTTTAAAAAAAAAAAAAAAAAAAAAAAAAAGATCATGAGAGGAAATCCCCTAAAAGGGAAATCCTGTCCATCATGATCTGGGAAGGCAAAGGGTCATCTTAGGGCGTGAATACACAACCTGCCACATAAATACCCATAAAAAAATCGTTAACATTCACAACACAGAACTCATTGGGTTGTTTCCCAGATTCTCCTTGAAGTGTTTGCTTTGTTCAGTGAACTTCTGTTCTGTCTATGTCTCTAGAATGAATTCTTCACTGCAAGAAGACAAAACCCAAGAGACTCCTATAATGTTCAAGTGTGCATGTGTGTGTGTGTGTGTGTGTGTGTGTGTGCACGCACACACATAATTAGAATCAAGAATATATTAATCAAGAAATCAAGACAGACTTAACATGTTAGGGAGTTGTCCGAGTGGCTAAAAATGAGAGAAAGAATACCCAACAGAAAAGAACTATACAACTAGGGAAATTCATCAGGTTTATGTTCAGTTTCAGTTTGAAGGCAGATTGCCACAGGCAATGCCTCGTTTGCTGGAGTCCTGGAAGCTCAGCTACCATACTCTCCTTCACACGTGGACTTTTCAAGCTTATTTGAAGATTCTAGCAGGGGGAGCACAGCTACCCTTGTACTCTTCAGAGAAAGTTATTCCTTTCTCAGGGTGGGCCACCCCCTTAGACTGTGTAGGAAGCTCAGGAGGGTGCATACTTCAGGAGCAGCGAGGGAGCAAGGAGGCACCTGCTAGCCTGTGGGATCAGCCTGCAGCCAGGTCTCTCACATCATGCAGATTTTAGGAGGTCCCGAGAGCCGAGCAAGGGCTGCAATTATGATCCCCTATTAACTGTATTCTTTTTTTTTTTGCCTGATATTCTTTTTATTTATTTATCTATTTATCTATTTATTTATTTATTAAAGATTTCTGCCTCCTCCCCTCCACCGCCTCCCATATCCCTCCACCTCCCTCATCAGCCAGAAGAGCAGTCCGGGTTCCCTACCTTGTGGGAAGTCCAAGGACCTCCCACCTCCTTCCAGGTCTAGTAAGGTGAGCATCCAAACTGCCTATCTTGGTTCTGTTAAGGAGAGGTTCACCAACAACTTCTCAGTTTGCTTATTCATTCATATATTGAAGAAAATTTATTGAATAATTTTTTAAAATTAAGCACTGAAGAGGAAATCTATATGATCACATATAACAGACACACACACACTCACCATATATAATTGTCTTTCTGGTTGAGGCACCCAGGCACTGTTGACATAGCATGATGGCCTTTTAATGTCACCAGCACTCGGTTCCATTAGAAGCATTTGCTGGAGCAGCAATCAGAGGGAGTCCCCAGTGGGGCACCTAAGCCTGAAATTCAAGTAAATGAGAAGCCTTCCATCCTTCTCAGGGCTGAATCATGGCTGCAACTGTCTAGAACAGATCACCCAGTTCAATTAGTCAGGTACGATTCTATGCAGAGTCTCCATGAGGCTGGCAAGATGGCTCAGTGGCTGAAAGAGGCTTACTGCCAAACCTTTAGATCTGAGTTCCATCCTCTGGAAACCACATGGCAGAAGGAGGGAACTATTCCTCCAAGTTGCCCTCTAGCCTCTAAATGCATACCAAATACACATACTCACAGAAGAAAAAAGTGTGTGTGTGTGTGTGTGTGTGTGTGTGTATGTGTGTGTGCATGCATGTGTTTGTAGCAGAATCCACTAACCAAAGCTGGTAAGCAAAAGAGAAGAGACAATTTAGAACAAATGAACAGAGAAATGGGTTTGTGCCTATTAGCCCCAGGGCTGGAGAGGCAGAGATAGGAGGACAACTGGAACCACCACTAGCCTAGCTTAGCCTTTCAAATAGTGAGTTCCTGGTTAAAGGAAAGATCTTGTCTCACAAATGAAGGCAGAGAGCAACTGAGAAAGGTAGGCTTGTCAACCTCTAGCATCTACATGCATGTAACACACACACACACACACGTGCACGCACGCACAGACACATATAGTACAGGACTCAGTACATAGCACAACAGAGGGTTCTTTGCTGGCTTGCAGCAGTGCTAATGCTTGTCCTGTTGGGATGCTGAAGTAGTCTGTTCTTCACAGAGCACCGACTCCTGGGATGTTTGTGTCAGGAAAATCTTTTTGTACACTGCATGAAGGTGTGTCTGTTCAACCTCACCTGCCTAAGGCACCTTCTGATTGGTTTAATGAAGAGCTGAATGACCAATAGCTAGGCAAAAAGGATAGGCGGGACTTCCAGGGAGAGATAGAATATCTGGGAAAGAATCTAGGTGCCAGAGATTTACCAGCTAGACATGGAGGAAGTCAGAGATATGATACGGAGGAGAGGGAATGAGCTACATGGCAGAATGCAGATTAACATTAACAGGTTAATTTAAGTTTTAAGAGTTAGCTGGGAATAAGCCAAAGCTAAGGCCAAGATTTGGAATTAATAAAAAGTCAGGAGCTGGCAGACCAAAGAAAGACCCATTACAGGTTTGGCTCCTCCAAAAACATTTCATTCACATGGGAAATCAAGGAGAGCCTCTGTCTCCGTCATTCTCAACTGCCTTCATTTCCCATCTGATATGACCAATGCCGCAGTTAGTAAATGCTTTTACATTTTATTTGAAACTTTCTCATGGAAACAGCACCAGTGGATGCATCTTCTCTGAAGATTAATATTGTAATATAATTTGGGAAACTGAGACTGCAAGAATCTTTGTAACCATGGGCTAAACTCGACAGAACTCATACCAACAAGTTGCTCTTTTAAAAGAGAAGTTTCTAAGCCACTGGGGATGGGTATTGGAGAGATGGGTCAGTGAGTAAATCACCTACTATGCAAGCAGGGGTCTGAATTTGGATTCTCACTGTCCATAAAAAGCCAAGTGTGGGAGTACAGTAATCCCACGGTGAGATGGGAGGTGGAGGCAGGAGAATCCCAGGAAGCTTGGACCAGCAAGGCTGGATGGAATACCAGCAGAACACAGAACCCTGTCTCCAAACAAGGTAGAAGATAAGGACTGACACCGAGTTGTCCTCTCCTCCACGCATGTGCTGTGGAAGAGGCATGCATCTGCATTCATACACACGAATACATATACAGAAGGGTTGGTTGTGTTTTGGTTTTGGAAGGCAATGAGGGAGGAGGATGTACATAGAGATATATAAATTATACTTTATTCACTTTAGTATTAAACACACAGAAATTTACATTCAAAAACGTTATAGCCAAAGGGCTTCTCCTTGAATGAAAGCCAATCCGGCCATCTTTGGCGCACTAAGTGAAAAAGCATTACAGCCCGTTTTGCACGGACAACAAATAGGCCTTAGCTTCAGAGGTCCATTGGTAGACGAAAGGAGGGCAGAGGGCCAGGTAGAGACACATGCAGTTATGAAGTCTGTGCTCTCTTATTAAAATGCATATTTTTAGCTAAATCTCTCCCACGGAATGTGTGGTGAGAATTCATAGAGTAGATTTCAGAAGGCTGAGGAGGTGGGAAACTTCTTGTTTAAAGTCCGCCTTCTGTTATAAAAGGTGCTCAACAACTTTCCTCTGGAAGCTTGCCTCAAATAGGGAAGGCAAAATAAAATAGACCAGTCTCTTAAAATGCCATTCACACATTGGCGCCATCCATTTCCAACTAAGACAGACATGCCCTTTCTACAACCTCGACTTCATAGGTGGAGAAGGAGCACCAGACATCACCAGGAAAGACAGTGTCAAGTGTCAAGGCTCCTATGAAGTATGCAGTGTGCAAATAAATCGGTTAATGATCGAAAAGCTAGCATGACACGGCGCTACTCTCAAAGATCAAACGCTCTGAGCCGACAAGCTGGCTCACCTCAGCCCTGCGAAACCATCAGCCACAGGTTAAATACCCACACCACAGACTCCCAAGTCCAGTGGCCCTTACCTTGCACTGTCCCGAGACACAGATGGCTGTGCCATTCTGATCACAGGGGGTGCCATCAATGACCTTCTCAGCTTGTCGCACGTAGAAGCGGTAGCCGGTTGCTTGGCAGTTCAACTCACACTTGCGATTGCCCTTTACTGTTAAAAAAAAAAAAGAACAAAGATGAGGTATGGGTGACCTCAGCTCTGTGGAGTCAATCCTGGCTCTTCCACCTATTTTTATGGAGATAAACTTCACATAACATAAAATTAACTGTCTCGACCAAAGTGGGGTGAGTATACTCATAGATTGTAGAACCAATTGCCACAAAAAATTTCAAAATATTTTCATTATCCCAGAAAGGAACCTCATGCCTGTTAGCTCTTCATGTTCCTCCTTTCCTCCAGAGCCTGGCATCCACCAGTTTATTTTCTGTCTGTTTTCAAGTTTGCCTTACAGTTGTAGAGAACGCGTAGCCCTTCCGCATTGGACAGTCTGAAGAAGGAAAGGACTTTTTAAAGGTCTCACCACTGTAAATAAAATTTCTACTTTTACACCCTACCATGATTTTTTTTTTGTAGTTATAATCTATGAATTTGCAATTTTGGTGAGCATATAATTTTTAACTTTGCTGTTTTTTCTTGAACTTAAAAGCTACACGGAGACTGGGGATATGATCATTTGGGAGAATTCTTGCCTAGAAAGCATGAGACCCTGGGTTTGAGCTCTAGCATAGCATAAGTATGACACAGTGGTACATGCCTGCAATCTCACCACTCCAAAGGTAGGAATTGAAGGTCACTTCCGTGGTTACACAGACTGCTGGTTAGGTTCATCTGGGAAGAGGGAGCCTCAACTGAGAAAATGCCTGCACCAGATAGCCCTACAGGCAAGTCAGTGGGGCTTTGATTTTCTGATAGATGGCTGATGAGGAAGAACCCAGCACACCATGGGCAGTGATGCCCTGGGCAGGTGGTCCTGGACTATCCACAAACCCAGCCTAACCCAAAGGAGTTAGCTGCACCCATGAAAACAAAAGCAACAGATAACCTCATGCCAGCCATCCCCAAAGAAGGGAAACGCACTAAAACACTACCACCAAAAACTAATAGGAATTAACAATCACTGGTCATTAACATCTCTTAATATCAATGGACTTGATTCACCTGTTAGACGCAGGCTAACAGAATGGATATGAAAACAGGATCCATCCTTCTGCTGCATAAAAGAAACACAGCTCAACCTCAAAGGCAGACATTACCTCAAAGTAAAAGGATGGGAAAATATTTTCCAATCAAATGGACCTAAGAAACAAGTGGGTGAGCCGGGTGGTGGTGGCACACACCTTTAATCCCAGCACTCAGGAGGCAGAGATAGGCAGATCTCTGTGAGTTCGGGGCCAGCCTGGTCTACAAGAGCTAGTTCCAGGACAGGCTCCAAAGCTACAGAGAAACCCTGTCTTAAGAAAGAAAGAAAGAAAGAAAGAAAGAAAGGAAGGAAGGAAAAAAGGTAGGAAACAAAGAAGTCTTAAATCACACATCAAACCCCACAAACTAATAGCAGGACACTTTAACACCCCACTCTCATCAATGGACAGGTCTGCCAGACAAAAACTTAACAGAGAAATAAGAGAACTAACAGATGTCAGGACTCAAATAGACTTAACAGACATTTATAGAACATTTCACCCAAACACAAAAGAATATGCCTTCTTCTCAGCACTTCATGCAGCCTTCTCTAAAATTGACCACATACTCGGTAACAGAGCAAATCTCAACAGATACATAAAAAAAATGGAATAATCCCCTGTATCTTATTGGACCACCATGGCTTAAAGTTAGAATTCAACAACCTAAATTAAAGAAAGCCTACAAACTCATGGAAATTGAGCAGTGTTCAAGTGAATCACCCTTGTGTCAAGGAAGAAATAAAGAAAGAAATTAAAGACTTCCTAGAATTTAATAAGAATGAATTCACAACATACCCAAACCTATGGAACACAATGAAAGCAGTGCTAAGAGGAAAGTTCATAGCACTAAATGCCTACATAAAGAAAGTGGAGAAATCTCACACTAGTGAATTAACAGCACACCTAAAATCTCTAGAACAAAAAGAAGCAGACTCACCCAGGAGAAGTAGATGACAGGAAATAATCAAATTGAGAGTTGAAATCAATAAAATAGAAACAAAGAAAACAATACAAAGAATCAATTAAACAAAAAGCTGGTTCTTCGAGAAAATCAACAAGATAGACAAACCCTTATCCAAACTAACCAAAATGCAGAGAAAGAATATTCAAATTAACAAAATCAGAAATGAAAGGGGGGTATAACAACAAACACTGAAGAAATTCAGAGAATCATTAGGTCATACTATGAAAACCTGTACTCAACAAAATTGGAAAATGTAAAAGAAATGGACAATTTTCTGGATAGGTATCACATACCAAAATTAAATCAGAACCAGATGAACAATTTAAATAGACCAATAACCCCTAAGGAAATAGAAGCAGTCATTAGAAGTCTCCAAAAAAAAAAAAAAAAAAACCCAAGGCCGGATGGTTTCAGCACAGAATTCTACCAGAACTTCAAAGAACAGCTAATACCTATACTCCTCGATTGTTCCACACAATAGAAACAGAAGGAACACTGCCAAACTCTTTTTATGAGGCTACAGTTACCCTGATACCCAAACCACACAAATATTTAACTAAGAAAGAGAATTACAGACCAATCTTACTCATGAACATTGATGCAAAAATTTTCAATAAAATACTAACACAATTTTTCATAAACCTCGAAAGAACAATACTCAACTTCACATGGAAAAATAAAAAACCCAGGATAGCCAAAACAATCCTGTACAATAAAGGAACTTCTGGAGTCATCACCATCCCTGACATCAAGCTCTATTCTAGAGCTGCAGCAATGAAAACAGCTTGGTATTGGCATAAAAACAGACAGGTAGACCAATGGAATCAAATCAAAGACACTGATATTAATCCATACACCTATGAACATCTGATTTTTTATAAAGAAGCTAAAATTATACAACTGGAAAAAAAGAAAGTATCTTCAATAAATGGTGCTGGCATAACTGTATGTCAACATGTAGAAGAAACCAAATAGATCCATATCTGTCCCCATGCACAAAACTCAAATCCAAACACCTCAACATAAAGCCAGCCACACTAAACCTCATAGAAGAGAAAGTAGAAATCAGCCTTGAATGCATGGGCACAAGAGATCACTTCCTAAATATAAACCAGTAGCACAGACACTGAGAGCAACAATTAATAAATGGGACCTCCTGGTACTAAGAAGCTTCTATAAAGCAAAGGACACAGTGAATAAGACAAAATGGTAGCCAAATGAATGGGAAAAGTCTTCACCAACCCCACATCAGACAGAGGACTGATCTCTAAAATATATAAAGAACTCAAGAAACTAGACATCAGCCAGGCGTTGGTGGCACACGCCTTTAATCCCAGCACTCAGGAGGCAGAGGCAAGTGGATCTCTGTGAGTTCGAGGCCAGCCTGGTCAATAAGAGCTAGCTCCAGGGCAGGCTCCAAAGCTACAGAGAAACCCTGTCTCAAAAAACCAAAACCAAACCAAACGAAACCAGCCAACCAAACAAACAAAACTAGACATCAAAATACCAAATAATCCAATTTAAAAATGGGGTGCAGATCTAAACAGAGAATTCTCTACAGAAGAATCTCAAATTGCTGAAAGACACTTATGGAATTGTCCAACATCCTTAGCTATAAGGTAAATGCAAATCAAAATGACTCTGAGATACCATCTTACACCCGTCAGACTAAGATCAAAAACACCGATGATAGCTTATATTAGAGAGGATGTTGAGTATGGGGAACACTTCAGCATTGCTGGTGGGAACACAAACCCATACAGTCATTTTGGAATTCAGTATGGTGGTTTCTGAGAAAATTGGGAATCAATCTACCTCAAGACCCAGCAATACCATTCTTGAGCACATACCCAACGAATTCACACTTATACCACAAGAACATTTGCTCAACTGTGTTCATAGCAGTGTTATTTGTAATAGCCAGAAACTGCAAATAACCTAAATGCCCCTCAGCTTTAGAATGGTTAAAGAAAATGTGGTATACAGTAGAGCACTACTCAGTGATTAAGAAAAAAAATGACATCTTGAATTTTGCAGGCAAATGGATGGAACTAGAAAAAACACATCCTGAGTGAGGTAGCCCAGACACAGGAAGACAAACATTATATGTACTCACTCATAAGACATAAATCACTCATTAGACATAAAGCAAAGGATAACCAGCCTATAGTCAACAAGCCCAGAAGCTAGGTAAGAAGGAGAACCCTAAGAGAGATATACATGGATCCCCATGGGAAAGGAAAATAGACAAGATCTCCTGAGAAAATTGGGAGTGTGTGTGGGGGGAGCAAAGGGAGGGTGGAAATGGGGGGGGGAAGGGGAAGGGAAGAAGGGGAGAGGAGAGGAGAACATGAGGGAATGGGATGGCTGAGATGGGGGAAGGACAGAGAGGGAGAACAAGGAAAGAGATATCTTGGTTGAGGGAGCCATTACAGGGCTAGAAAGAAACCTGGCACTAGAGAAATTCACAGGAATCTACAAGGATGACCCCAGCTAAGAGCCAAAGAAATGGTAAAGAGGATGCCTAAACTGACCTTTCCCTGTAATCAGATTGATGACTACCTTAATTATCATCATAGATCCTTCATCCAGCAACTGATGGAAGCAGATACAGATCCACAGGTAAGCACTGGGTCGAGCTTTTGGAGTCCAGTCAAAGAGAGGGAGGAGCAATAATATGAGCAAAGGGGTCAAGACCATGATGGGGATACCCACTGAAACAGCTTACTGAGCTAATGGGAGCTCATTGACTCTGGACTGGCAGCGGAGAAAACCTGCATACGACCAAGGCCCTCTGAACGTGGGTGACAGTTGTGTGATTGGGGCAGTCGGTGGGGCCACTGGCAGTGGGACCAGGATTTATCCTTAGTGCTTGAATTGGATTTTTGAATCCCATTCTCTTTGGAGGGATACCTTGCTCACCCTAGATATAACGGGGAGAGGACTTGGTACTGCCTCAAAGTGATATGCCAGACTTTGGTGACTCCCCATGTGAAGTCTTATCC